TCCTTCTTAATTAATGCCGAGATCTGTTATTAAAAGTTTGAATATGCCAATTTATTCTGGACCCTTAGCCCTTTTATAACTTTCTAAGATCAAAATCTTATATAGCTTGTTGCTGTTTATTTCAGATCCTTTAAATTCTTAAGCTTATGATTAAAATTTCAATCAGGATTGAAGGCAGACCCACCCGGCATTTTCAAACTTGACTTTCCAAGTGTCTCTAATAGCTTAGATATAGTTAATGAGCAATTCCTGAAAGTGATTAGAAAGTGAGGTTTGCAAAATCAGAGTCCTTTAAATGTCTCCGCTGCCGTTGCGAGCAAGGTGGTTAATCTCTTTGTCTCCCAGTGCTCAGACCTGTGGAAAACTGCTGTCCTGAGGTCTTCTCACAAGGAGCAACCATTTGGAGCACATGTGAGCAATCTTCTCTCCTCTCCTTAGCTGGGAGAGGTCTACTCACTGGTTCCTTGGTCTTTGCCACAGTTGAGGCCATCTTCAGTTTGCCATACTTCCCCCAGAGTTTGGTGGGATTTTCTTACATACATACATACACAAGTATGTATGCACAGCAGACTTTGCTATGGGGTTCTTTTTCTGCAGCAGCATTTTTTATGAAGTTAAGTGTACAAAGACATGTCTTTATTTGAAAACTGCAAAGGCAAAATCATCCATAGCAGTTGAATAATAGCATTATTTTTTCCTTCTGAACAATTTCTTTCTTCAAGTTTTGGGGAAACATTGTAAAATGTATCTACATTCTTTTAGTTTCAGCATTGCTTCCCAAATGCAACCAATGTAAACAGATACTCAAGGCTCACTTTTAAATAAACTTTAAAAGTTAAAAAAAACCAACTACATGAATCTTTTTGTTTTCCAGAAAACTGCTTTTGAGAATGAAGAAAACTTGATTGTATGGTTTAGTATGCTAAAAACCCTGATAAAGTGCAATTTACAGTGGAAGTGATATAACAATACTCTACTTGTGATCACACTAACTTTATAGCATATATTTTGATTTTAAAAAATCAAATACAGTGAAAACTGAATAATCTTTAAAAGCTTTGCAAATTCTTCATTGTTCTTATTGATTAGACGAAGTAAAATAGATTGATATTCCTATCTGAAACTCTTCATATTAAATATATATAAAGTCTTTGGTATCTATATTTAATAGTATTTTAAATGACTTGGGATGCCTTTCAGCAGCTGCTGCTGCTGCTGCTGCTATTATTATTATTATTATTATTATTATTATTATTATTATTATTAAATAGCTGGGCAGCTTATAAAATATAATAGTAATTAAAACAATTTAAAACATAAACATTTATCCATTATCAAGAAGATTGTAATAATAAAATAAAATCATTTGAAGCCCAGCTGACCTCACAGGGTTGTTGTTGTGGGGAAAATAAGAAGAGGAAGGAGTATTAGGTATGTTCGCTGCCTTGAATTATTTATAAAAATAATAAAGGCCGGATAAAAAATCTAAAAAAGAAATCATAGTGTATTTTTCTGTGTATTAGTATTTTCATTTTTATTCCTTTGATGGATCCCCTGTCTTTCTACCCTGGCAAGTACTAATCTTGCTGTCTTTGGGGGGAAAAATATGATCAAGGTTTAGTTCAAAGTGTACAGGTGTCATTAAGATCCTTAGTGGTCTTATTTTGAAGTGTTCCAAATGTCTAATTAATCTGTCTAAATATTCCTCTAAGACAGCTGGTTCCAGCATATTTTGCTCCTTTTTTTAACCAGTGTAAATACGCAACATGTGGAAAACAGAAAATGGCTGGAAAATCCTAGTAGGTTTCACAGGAGAGCTCTGATAAAAGGATATTATCAGCTTCTCTGCCTTGAGATTTCCTGCAAATTCCACCTGGGTGTTTAACTCTGCAGGCCTATGTGGATTCAGCAGAGGGACTTGAATATAAGCTAGTAAGAAACATGGATTTTATTTCTTTACAGGCCAGAGCAGCACTGATTTCGTTTTCCTAATAACTAAATTTGTAGTTCCCTCAAGGATATAAGGGAAAGTACCATTTTACTCCTTCTTTGTTTTAGTGTTTACATGATCAATTTCTTTTGCAGTACAATACAGAACAATAGTGTGTGGAAATGAGCATCAAATCAACACTAAACACCAGATTTCAGTTTAAGAAGAAAATGGTCACTTGCACCTCCAATACTTATCTTATGTGGATGTATTCTGAGCATCTACTTGTTTTATCAGTATTGTACTCTAAACAAATGTTTATTTCATATGTACAAAGGAGAGTCATCTACTTTAATATTTCTGAAATATTCCTTCTGTTTCAAAGATAAATATGTAACAGATGCCTAGCTGATCATACTATTGGCATTATACCATTCCTCATTGAGGCTACTCATATGGGGAACACCTGTGCCAAATTAATGGAACATTTAAGAATAGTACAGTGTGGGAAGATTAATAGAGAAAGCACAGGTTTCTTTCTTGTTAGCTCTTTAGAGTCACTGGAAAAATCCTTCACATCTGAAGATAATGTCTTGTCTTCAGTTTCTTTTAACATTTGCATTAATTCCAATACCTGCTTTAGCCTCTTTCTTAGACAAATATTTAAATATCCTGCAAAGCTAATTTTGCTGATTCAGAAATGGGTCCCAGTAGGCAGTAAATATTGAACATTTCTCCCTTTCTCTGGATATCAGTTTACATGAAATTTTAAAATTTTATACAGGCCTGAAAATATGTTTATAAATATATTTATTGGATTTTCCAATGGAATAGCATTTATGTGCTTAATTTATGTCATCTGTATTTACTAACTCTAAGTGTATATAAGATCATCATTGTATGTACAAGTATATTCAGTTATTTCCTTTTGATTGAACAAAACTGTTGCCTTTCTCTTATTTCTCTGTTGTGAAGTGATAATTGGGGTACCTAAGATATTAAGCTGTGATAATGCATTTGACTGTAAATAAAATAACCAGTACCTCTTGAACTACACTTTATTGTATTCCATATGTAAAAAAGGAGATGGCTAAGAGGTATTGATAGCATTAAAAATTAATCTGGGAGTATTTTCTCATCTAAGATGCTCAGTTCTCTGTATACGTATAATGTTCTACAATAATGAACATTATTGTAACGGCAGTTCATCCTTCATTAATTTCTGATAGTTCACAGCGGAACTTTTTCAGTAATGTTGCTACGTTAAGAAATTAATCTACAAATACAAAGGAAGAGTCTTCTGGCCATAAGAATTGATAATTCAGTGTACATTTATTTTATTTTATTTTTTAGCATAAAACACCATCAGGAACGGAGAGCTATTTTAACTCCAATTTTAACAGACTTTACAGTACGAGTAACTGCAGCTCCTGCCATCATTTTCACAAAAGTAATTTCTCCAGAGAATTTGCACACGGAGGTCAGTATTGGATTTGGGATGATGTTTGTCACTTAGCTTTATATTGGCACATTTGTTAATTATTAAAATAATACATTAAACTGTGTTAAAAATAGTGCATGGTATGCACTTTTCTGCGTCGAATTGTTTTCGTTTCCTCCTTCAACATTGCCATCAGATCTGCAATGGATAATCAGCCTGCTTAGGTAATTCTGGACATAACCCTGTCATATATTATATTGGCTAATAATAGCTTTTATAAAGAAAAAAATATCTTTGTTATGAGAATTAATATGGTGTGGTGGTAAGGTGTTGGACTTGGATCAAGAAAACTCTGGTTTCCACATTCAGCCATAGAAGCTTAGGGCGCTCATTTCTTTATTAGCCCAAGAAATGTCACATAATTATTGTGAAGATCAAATTAAAAATAAAAATATTGCTTTGAGTTCCTTGGGGAAAAATGGGATATAATTGTAACAAATGAATAAATAGTTATAGTAAATAGTCAGTTTGGTGTAGTGGTTAAGGCACCAAGCTAGAATTCAGGAATGAGTTCTAGTCCCGCCTTAGGCACGAAGCCGGCCAGGTGATCTTGGGCCAGTCACTCTCTCTCAGCCCTAGGAAGGAGGCAATGGCGAAGCACTTCCAAAATCTTGTCAAGAAAACTGCAGGGACTAGTCCAGGCAGGCGCCAGGAGTCAACATTGACTTCAAGGCCCGCAAACACAAAGAAGTAAATAAATATTACTATGTATTATTTTGTTTTATTTCAAATCACTAAAGTCTGCCACCGATCTAGAGGAACTGTTTTTTAAAGGGGAAAATGTTAGAATACAATAAACGATCCAGAAGTGCTAGAGACAGAATGTGTGTGCGTTAACTTGTTAGCTTGCTAAACTACAATGTTCATAAATTGCATATATGCCTTATTTTACCTGGAAATAATAACAATAACAATAATAATTTAAAATGAATAGCTTAGTGTTATATCTAAGCCTGAGATTATGGTCTGTGGCATCCAAATGAAATAGATTTATAAGGGCTTATCTGTGATTTTATTATCCTTTCTTATTTGCACCCAATAAAACATAATCCTGCATTCAGATTTAGGTTTAACATGTCGCTACCTTATTTTCAAATGTGCTCACACCAAAAAAAAATAATGAAACAGAAATAAATGCCTGTGTACAATAACAGATAATTGGTATAAATTATGGATCAATATGCTAGGATTCTTGTGAGAAACCAATATTTTTCTATAGTTATTTTTCAGCTTGGCAAGTAAAATATCCCAGAAATGAGTCTCAAAATATGAATTTAGCTATAAATCTTAACTGGACCCATTTCTCTACTGAGAAATGTTCTCATGGTGTTTAGGTAGTTTTAAGTTATTGGGAATCTGCATATTCTGATGATAATTAGAAATCCTCTGTATAAACTTGACATCTAGAATTTGATTTAAATAAGACATTGGATATAAGTGAAAAATAATCATCCATGCAGAGTCCATGTTGGAATCTCATTTAAACATAACTCATGAATATATTTTCCCAGACCACAAATTCATTGCTTTCAAATGAAACACATACTAAAAATTGATTCGATTTAAACTGAGATGCCAGCTGCAAAGAATGCCTCACACATATTTTTTTTCCATTCCCAAAAAATTATGTTTAAATCAGGCTTCAGAGCATGTTTTCTGAAGATCAACCTAAGAATCCTTAAATGTAAACATTGGGAAAGCAGCTCATTTAGGATCCCAAATGATCGTTTCTTCTGTAAGATAGAAGGTCAAGGCACAATTCGAGATCACTCAAAGGAAACAGAGTTTCAGGCCAGAACACTTTCTCTTTAAATTTCTTTCAACCTTTCAAACTTTCACCAAGAAAGTTTATATCTTCTTTTTGGCATCCAGCTGTGGTTTCCTTTAGCTCCTGTCAGTTCATTTCAAACTTCACACAGCAGTTTGGAGTTCTCCTCCTTTCTAGTATTTGAGTTTTAGCCCCTGGGGATGGCCAGGAGTAAAACTGGAGGGCTCCATGTAAAGCATGTCCTATCTTGCTGCCCTATGGCCCCATCTCCACAGCTTTATCATGTACTGCACATTTGCTGAAAATAGAGTTTAAAGGAAACATTAGATGAGTAGGGAAAAATAGTATCAGATGAATTTTACAGTTCCTGTTTTTCAGGAATATAAATGCTTTAGATATTTCAATTTTTTCTTGAATCTACCCCCTTGGGATATTCAGTAAGAAAGGGAGAAGTCTACTACAGATTACTAAGGATGAATATGCACATATTTTTTATAACAAGGGGATATGACTTTCTGCTTAGTAAGCAAATCTGTTTATTTTCTCCTTTCATTAATTTCTGAAACATGGTCACAATTGTTTGCTTTGTGTGGGGGTTATAATAGCCATGGGACAACGGTAATTTATCTATACTTCTGCTCCAAAGGTTAGCAAGCAGCTACAAATCAATTAAATCAGTTATCTGTGAGCCGCAAAATACAGTTTCATTATAAAGATGTGCTTGTAGACCCCACTACATCTCTGTCTGTGAGAAAGGAGAATTACAGTTTTCTGCCAAGAAAATTAATAAGGGCTCTGACAGCCCAGAATTTGATGCAACAAAGAAACAGGACCTCACGCATGAAATACATGAAACAAAGGAAAGGTACCTTAAACATTAAACATCCTGCTCGAAGTATAGCTGTATGATGTTCCATCACTCCTCTACCTGATTTCATTTTACAGATGGTGCATAGTGTTTTCTGCTGAAAGAGATAAAGGAATGTTAATTAAAAATTTAGAGAATATAAATAGTTTATATTGCCTTTAAAAAATAAAATTACCTAATTGCCAAGAAACAGCTGGTAACCATGGACTTTATTTTGCAAACTTGTTTCTTTCTTAGGAAATTTTAGTATGTGGCCATTCTTTGGAGGTGAATATGACAACAGGTCTGGATTTCTTCCTCAGTGTTGCTCAGTTACAGCTCTTACAACAATTAATGCAGAATAATATGTCTGGATTGGAACCTTCCAACAAAACTGCAGAGGTAACTTCCCTTATCAGTTGACTTTTGGAAGCAACTGTGATTCATCATGCAATTTTTAACATTTTTATTTTCAATAGTTTATGCTGCCTAAATATGCGTTACGTATACCTTGATTATGGCTAAAAGTGGCACCTCAGTATTGTGATCCCCTTTGGGATATACAGGAACACTGTCTTCTGTATGTATTTTCTTGGCTGTATTTTAGTTGTCTGATTATAGGAAAGGAAAACTTTTGTTTCTCCAAGATTTCATTCTTTTCAGCTGTTGGCTATGGTAAAATTGCTACAATTGATTTGTACATTTGTACAATTGAGGAACAAGCAATGTAGTTAGGAGTTTAAACCAGTCTTAAAGCCTTCCCCAAAGTGATGCTCTCTAGAAGTGTTGGAACTGCTGTTACCAGAATTCCAAGACAGATTTTTTAATTTTTATTTTTTGCCATTCTGGCTATAGCACATCATCTGAAAAGGAACACTAGTCACAGCAGTATCGCATATAAGTATTGCCCAGAAAGGTTGTGGTTAGCTCCATAAATGCTATAACATATGTTACATTGGAATATCAGGGAAAACTAGACTCTGTGGCACTGATAGAGAATAGTCATCTTATTCTGCTGCTACCCAATGAACTTTAGTTGAAGTTTGACATCTGTCAGTCCAAATACCAATTACTGACATGGATCTTGTTATGCAAACTGTTATAAGCATTGTTTAAAAAATAGAAAAACAAAAAACAAAACTATTACTGAAATGCGTGAACAGAGGTCTCTTTTGTAAGTGCATTTTCAGAGTAAGTATACTGTGGGAAACTTTACAGTAAATAATATACAAGGCAGTATTTCCTTTCTTTGGTGGAATATATAGAAGCATTAAGTTGATTGCATACTTGGGATCATACTTAGCCTACAAGACTCAAAGGTTCTTCATTTTCAGAAATGCCTGAAAATTTATAAACAGAAAAAATATTAGGTTTAGAAGAAAGGATTGTTTTTTGTGAATCAATAGAAATCAATCATTCTGAGGAACAAATAGGCTCAGTAATATGTAAAATATTTGAATCTGCAAAGCAATAAAATACTGGGTCATAAACAATGGTAGCATCAAAGCTATTTTCATTAACGAGATGAACATATAGTATGAAAGCAAAACAATTCACTAACGTTAGAAGACTGTGTAGAAGCTATACTTTGATTAATCTGTTCTAGAACATAGTTTTCTTTCCTCCTGTAAATCCAATCCTAAGAAATGTACTTTAAGAAGGAACGTTTCCATAGAATAACATCCTAAATTTCATCTGACAGTCACATTGAATGGGACTAATTCCTCATCATGTAAACGTGCAGATGTTGCATAATCATTCATTGATGATCCAGAAGTTTTTGTAACGCGAACTTAAACCAAATTTCGATGCACATTGTTGGATTGCTCCCATTTGCCTTCTACTACCAAGAATAGCTAAACAAATCTTTTTTTTTTTACTTCAGATAAGCCAGAATCATAAACTTGAATTGCTTTTCATTAATAACTTAGGCTTGTTTAGAGAGGTTGCAGCCAGGAATCCTGGTCCTTACATTGTGCTAAACAAAAGTACACAGGTCTCTTTGTGTTTTCTTAACTCTGCACCCCAAAGCATTAGAAAAAATTAAATGGTTAGTGGCCCAGAGTATTATTTCAATGTGTGCCCACTGGGCCAAGGAAAAATAAAAACAAAGATAAACTGGATGGCAGAAAGTTTCTCAGAGATCTGGAGGGATTAGCTATGTTTTCACAATCATATTGGGAACAGGCAAGCTATATCAAATCAGCTGTTTTGTAAGAGCACCCATGAACTGCTCTCTAAATTCCGAATGTTCCCGTTGGTCTGAAAGACTGGGGACCCCTTCATTTCCTGCTGGAAATCATTACATTTACTGGCTTATTTCTTTATTTCTGATAAGTAGGACTTCTAAAATATTCTAGTTTACCAACATTGCCTGTGAACAATGCTACTCTGCAAAATTATTCTCTTACTAGAAATGATTACAGTGACTATAGTCCAGCAAGGAAGAAGCAAAATAATTTCTGTTCATTGGCAGTTTCTAAGTTTGCCCCTTTCAAGGGCTTCAATGCATAAGTGACTTAAAGCTGCTCTTTAACTTCCATTTCAGGATAGAGCCTATTTATGCAATTGCTCCTATCTTGAGGTATTATAAATTATTTTATGGCAGAGAAGTTTTCTTTCATTTTCACTCCTCCTCTGAGAGATTCTCTGAAGAATGAGCATCAAGAAGGAAAAGAAATAAAGAGCCAAATTTATATTTCCGTTGCTATATGCTTCCCAACTTCAGTTAGGAGCTCCCTCACATTTCTTTCCCCAGCAAAGGAAGACCATCTTCTATTATCTTCAAACACATCCTCCAACACACAGCCTTCCAAGGCCTGTACAAATCCAAAGTTCAAAGAAAAACAGCAAAATTATTCAGAGGACTGGGCTGATTTATGATCAAGGTTTCTGAAGTTAAATATATATAGTTTGACTAAGAAATGCAGAGTCTAAAAGAGGAACATAAATCTGCAAATGTAACACCATGATGTAAACATCAGCAAAAAAGGGACATTTTAGGACTTCACAAGAGATCATTACTAGAAATCAGATACTACTATTCAGAATAAAATAGTGCAGGGATCAGGAAACCTTCCGTTTGAGTTAACGGTTTGAATTACAAATTATTTCTCAAGGACTCTTGTTCAGTTGCTTGAACTAACCCAAACTTTATCACTAATTATTCTATATAATGCTGCATTCACCTGCATTTCAAATATCACTTAGAAATTATGTGCTACACTACGTTACAAAAGGATGAAAGTCAAAGACTATTGCTACATTATAGTAATTGAATAACAAGTTTGTTTTTAAATGTTGGCTAACTGATCTGGAAGCAGTAATTACTTTGTTCACAAATATCCAGTAATCATTGTATTAAATCCACTTCCAAAAGGACCATATGTAAGAAATAGTATATGTATACTTTTTAAACCAGTGTTATAGAGTAAATTAAATGTTTATATTTTAACGAAATAAAAAACATATTGTGTAGAAGGTTAGAGAGTAACCACATAATTAAGGCCAAAAATGGCTCCTCTTTGATCTAGGTAGGTGCTAAAGGACAAATGTTATTTTATGTAAATGTAAATTTCTGAATTTTTCAGTACTTCCTATTGCAGTTCTCAGATCTTTACCCTTGTACAGTTGTCTTACTTTGATTGAACTTGCTTTCCTAACATTGTCATTCCTTTAGAGTTTAATTTTGCTTGTTTATCTGTCATTGAGATTAAAGTATTTAAGCAGAACAAGAGAATTCTGTGGGATCGTTTAGTTTCAGTTAACATAACAAAGATTTTAGTTTTGTTATGTTAAAACTTACCACACAAACATTAACTTATACATCACCAGGTAATACAGGATTGACTTAAATCCTCTTGTATGTCAGCTTCTGGAAAAAAATATCTGTAGTCAATACACTAGTGAAGGTACAAATTTATTATTTTAGAATCCTGTCTATTTCAGTTTAGGGGAAAAAAATTAAATCACTTCTATAGCAATCATCCTTTTCACTTGCTGTTGGGTCTTCTCTTTATGAACCTACACTGAAGTATACAAGCTCATCAGATCAATTTTATCAAGTCAAAAATGTTGCAGAAGGTTTTGTAATAATTAGAAATGCGGTGGAATGTTGAGCAACTTTGAGTAGATTTGGCTATACCTTGTGTGAAAGAATCTTGGGTTACAACCAAGACCAAGGGACATTGTACAGATACAAGGCTTTTGTAAATGTATTTATTTATTCTGCCTATTCTAACTAATAGATCAGGGACATCCAAGGGACTATCTCAAGTGAACAGCAAGTTTCTTTTTTCTTTTCAGTATTCTTGACATACCCATGAATCCCTTTTACACTGTCTGTTTACTTTAAATATTTTATCTATATTCCCATTAAAAGTACCATATCAGTAGGTCTCAGGGCAAGTTAGAGTGTTCATAAAGATTCAATAAAAACTACCCAGATGAAAAAAAATTACAAACTAAGCTCCTGTCATTAAGAGCAAAAGACCTAGGTCATCACTTGCAGCTGAAACAAAATCAACAATGATGTAGTTTTGCCTCCATTATGTTCCATAATGGAGATGCTACAGCTTAAACATTCCTTTCATACCTTCACATAATGTACTGCCTCCATTGGTGGAATACAGTTGGAGACCCTTTTCTTTGTGGCTGTGTTTCATCTATATCAAGGGTGGATGATTTATGGTCTATGGCAGTGTTTCTCAAACTTGGCAACTTTAAGATCTATGGACTTCTGAGAGTTGAAGTCCACACATCTTTAAAGTTGCCAAGTTTGAGAAACTCTGGTCTATGGGCCCTGTAGTCAGCCTAATTTTTTCAGCATTCCCAAATCTTACAGCTGACTTTCAGAGCAAAACCATCAATTTTCATCAGTATATTTTTAGTTAGTTATTTGCATTGGGAGGCAAAATAAGGCACAAAATAGGTATGTGAAGCCTCTATTTTTGTAAGTGCTGAAACTGGTGAGGTGGGGATAGCACTGCACAGAGAATCAGGGATAACAGTGGGTAAGAATATGGTAATTCAAAAGAGTGGGAGGAAAACTCTTAAGTTTTAAAATTGGAGCATATATGCATACATTTCTGTGTTTTGCAGCAGGCCAATCTTTTGAACAGTTATGACAGCAAATGTTTCTAGCAATTTCAAGTCCTTGAAGTTTGTGCTGTTAACTAGTTCCTGAATGTGAGTTTGAGTTTCTGGTAGTTTAAAGCGGAAGGAAGGCAGGCAGGCAGGCAGGCAGGCAGGCAGGCTGCTCTAAATGTTGTACTGCATCTAACAGCTGTGTTCAGAAGAGATGAAATACTAGATACAAATACTACTTGCAGCAGTTTCCTATTGCAGAAGTAGAAAGAGAGATAGTTGATAATTCTAGAAGTTTCTTGCTTCTGTGAAACTAT